AATGCAATAAAAAATTATCCATTTTAGCCCGTGGAGGTATTCGATAAATTTGTTAATGCAATGCTGATGAAGAAAGTCATTGATGGTTTGATGAGATCGGTAGAAGATGTACAGTGTGTTCATGCTTGTGGGCAATGATAGGCCATACACTACACTTCATTAGATGATCAATGGGTGAACTTTGTTGCAACTTCAGAGTTGGAAGATTTGGCAGACCCCCGATGCAAATATTAACTGTGAGCATCATTAAGTTTTATATTGTGTTGAATAATAGAGATGAGATATTGCTTGTGTGGTTTATGCTGCTCTGATTCCCAATTTCGTCAGTTCTTGATTAGGAGATGACTTTTATGACATATATTTACATAAAGGAACTGATGGACATGTTTATGCACAGGCAAACTGTAGCGCAAATAGGGTTGCGCAACAAAGAGAAAATGACCAGTCTTCCTATATATATGCGAGTGAAGCGAGCAAAGGTTGTCAACGACTTCCCTCGCTTCGATTCGAAAAATATTTTTATTATCAAAATACAATATCGCCACCATCAAAGGTAGACACCCATTTCCTCACAGGGTTGTGCTCTCAGATTTCCAACCTCATATTCAATAATTACTCCCGTGCAATATATTTAATCCAACATTTTAAACACCACTTGTGGCATATCAAATCGTTCTTCGACTCCGTTACCCCTGCCGGCTTCCGGTTCAACGGAGTGAAGAACAAGGGGAGTTAAATGTAAATATACTTGTTGAATCACATGTCCGCCATATGGAATACTTGTGGAGCTACTCCCTTGCTTCAATCGCCCACTACACCAGAAGTGTATTTTGTAGAATAAATATTACGAAAATTCTAACAATAACGACTGCAGAAAAGAAACATAATCTCCAACAGTTTAATGGTAAAAAATTAGGCAATATGATATTTCTGTTTAATTTCTGCTTATTCTTGTTCCTTCACTCCGTTGAACTGGAAGCTGGCAGGGGTAATGGAGGCGAAGAACAGTTTGATATGGCACGAGTGGCACTTAAAATATTGAATTAAATATGTTTTACGTGAGTAATTATTAAATATGAGGTTGGAAATCTGAGAGCACAACCCTGTGAGGAATTTCACCAAATGGGTGTTTACCTTTGATGGTGGCGATATTTTATTTTGATATGAAAAATATTTTTTGAACTGAAACGAGGGAAGTACGTTGCCAACCATTGCTGGCTTCGCTCGCATATAGGAAGACTGGTCACTTTCTATTTGTTGCAATTGCGCAACCTATTTGCGCTACAGTTTGCTTGTGGTTTATGTTTAATGTTTCTGTTTTTTAACTTGGATATTGATTTTGTTATTTTGTTGCAAAGAATCAGTTGGTTCTTCCTGATAGGATACATTCTACCTAGCTCTTACATGATATGTTCTGTTGTGGTTGCAACCTAGTTTCCATGGTGACTAAGAACGCACAATAAATGGATTAACAAGATTTGCCACTTTAGAACAGGAGTGATTAATTATTTTGGAAATGAAAAGGTTTCAGTAAGTTTAAATTCAAATGTGCAACTTGAAAGGAAAGGTTCCTTGTTTCACAACGGAAACTGATGTTTGTGTCCACAGGATGTCTGGCAGGTAGAAACAGGTTTCCAAGACATTTCATTGAAATCGTTGAAATTTAGGTGTGAAATGGGGATAGATGTCAAATAACAGTTTACTGCACTTATATAGTGGCACGTGTGTTTCTGTGTGTGTGTGTGTGTGTGTGTGCTTGTGCATGTGTGTGTGTGTGTGCTTGTGCTTGCATGTCTCTGATTGTACTAGTGCTGAGTGACCGCCTCCGTGGTGTAGTGGTTAGAGCATCCACCTGGAGTGCGGAAGGTCGCGGGTTCGATCCCCGACCACGTCATACCAAAAGACGTTAAAATATGGTACTTGTTGGTCCCTGCCTGGCGTTCGGCATTAATGGGTGCAACAAGGACTGGTCGGCTCAGAGTCAGTATAATGTGTCTGATTGGAGTATTCATGCTTCACTGCGGCATGGTATCTCAGTGGGCTAGCACTATAAAACCAGCTTCAGTCTGGGCTAGTACAAGCAGCCGCACATACACATACACACGCATGCACGTCGTCATATGAGCGAAATATTCTCAAGCACGACGTTAAACCCAATTCCACCACCACCACTAGTGCTGAGTTATAATTGCTAGCCCCCTCAGATACCATGCTGTAGTGTTGGTATGAATTACAGTCCCAGACACAGTGTTTGATGCCAAGCTGACAATCTTTGTTTGATCCCTGTAATGCCAAACACCAGGCAGGGTAACATTATGTACCACTTATTAAAGTCATTTGGGGTGACATGGCCGGGGTTGAACCACCAGCTGCTGCTTTCTCACATGATGCTCTTCCAACGTAGTCAGTAAACTTTCTCTCTTGTTACCTACAGAGGAGGAACAATATGTACTATTTATCTGTGATGCCTCTGTCCTCCATGGGAGGATAGTGAAGCATGCATGGAAGACTGTGTAGAGAATGGATCAATGGTGGAACACAGACAGTTTACTGGAAGGGAGGAAGCTCAGTGGTGCTGGAGACTCGGTGTATAATAGCATCAGGACAGACTTGTTGTATGTGAAGTCATGAATGTATGGAAGGATAAGTCTTAGAAGCTTCAGTGAGGGCTTTACATTGTCTGGGCTCATTGTGACATGGGTCAGATGGTTCCAGGCACCAAACACTGCTGTGCAGAGTTGCATCCCCTTACCTTGCCAGGAAACAAAGAACATAGGTGAACAAACTTATATCTAGTCATGCCAGTGTGTATGAGGTGTCCTAGCTTCAAAGAAGTCCCACATGGGTACAACGTGTGAAGCCCATTTCTGGTGTCCCCCGCCGTGATGTTGCTGGAATATTGCAAAAGCTACTTAAAGCTAGTCATGCCAAAGCGCAAACTCACTCAGTCAGTCAAAGAAGTCAATATTTACTATGCAGAGTTGCATCCCCTTGCCTTGCCAGGATCCATTAGTAGCATGGGTGGTACCCACATCATTTCTGGCCATGCCAGGAGATACGATTGACTCAGCTTCTATTCACTGTACAGAGTTGCTTCCCCTTGCCTTGTCACAAGTTATGTTTAATGAGGAGCATAGGTGGCAGAGTTCCTACAGTCTTCCCATCAGTGATACATTTCCGCCAGTAATGTGTTACGATCCTTAATTCACATTGGTTATGTGGAATAAACGTGAGAAATGCTGATAACCTGCTTTACTTCTAGATTTCTTCACACTCTAAATGGACTTGTCAGAACACTAACCAGATATATTGGTCCGAGCTTAATTATCATGAGATAGGTTTTTGTAAGGATGAGACACATGACTGCTGTCATGTAGAAAATTAACACAGAATGATTCTGTTACAAATTCATCATTGAATTTTGTCAGCTGGTAATGATGAATTTTCCTTGTGAATATGAGAAATGATACACACAAATAATTTGACAAAAGCAGTATGTGTTTTCAGAGTTTGGTTATCTCAGTATTTTGTCTTGAGATGGAGATTGTGTAAGTGAAGAAATAATGTTTTTGGCTGGCTTGCATTTTAATAATCAAGTCTGGTAGAGACAAAAAGGTGGTTTATGTAAAGAATACCTTGCCATGACCACTGTTCCATTTCTGGAGATCTTTGGTAATCCAGCATCTAGTGAGGCTTTACTTACCAAGGAGCAGGTGGTGTAGTCTAGTGGTTAAGGCAGGCGTTAACCGTCGCACGCCGAAGACCTGGGTTCAATTCCCACATGAGTACAATGTGTGAAGCCCATTTCTGGTGTTCCCCACTGTGATATTGCTGGAATATTTGCTAAAAGCAGCATAAAACTAAACTCGCTAACTCACTCACTCACTCACCTCTGACAGACTCACTCACTCACTTCTAGCTCACTCCTTCCACAGAGCCCTTCCACAGATCTATACAAATTCAATGTATTTTTCAGGCTAGAGTTTACAAACTGTACATGTAAACGGTAAACTTTTAGTGTGTAGGCCATGTCATGTTCAGTTCATGTCTCTTGATATAAAGCCACTGGACAGTTCTGACTTGAAGAGCACTCATATTGGAGTATGTAATGTTTATGTAAGTCTATGACATTACTCACTGCTGTGATGAAATGGACAAGGCTGTCAAATTAAGTTGAAGCATGTGGTGTATTAATCCATCAATAGCTGGGTTAGATGTACATTGCTGCTGGGGAGTTGGCAGACGGCTTCGACGCCATCCTTTGAAGGCGTGGTTTCAGAAGTAGATCAGACGATCTGCTCGGTACTGTTAGGTGAAGGTTTGCTGGACCTGGCCGATGTGATGTAGATGATTGGAATTGTGTATCAGGTACTCTGTGATGAACCATACAGTGAAACTGTTCCATACACATTGTTTTCTGTCTGAAGAGCTAGCAATAGGTATTTCTGAGTTGAGACATTCACTCATGTGGCTCAGTGGTCAAGGTTCCTGTGATGGTTTCGGTAAGGATTGTTGAACAGAAACCCACACTTATTATAAAGGCTACTAATGTGATTAGGTATGTCATCATCTCCCACTAGGCATGGACAAAGTCTGGTCACTGAAGTATGTTGTATGACATTCATGTTCTTACATTGCTGTGATACAACTCCAGTACTGATTTAACAAACTTATGGAGAATGTAAGAATTGTATAATATGGTCACTAGCATCTGTGGAGTAACCTTGCTGGCAAGATGTGTAGAACATAAAAGTTTGTGAATAACACCAGCTAGGTCAGATGGTCAGCCTTGTTGGTGAAGCATTTACTCACGACAGGTTTGATGTTATACTCACTCAATCACTACGAAGGCAACATATCTTATTGTACTTGAATGGCTAACTGTCCCTTTAACTGCAGGCTGAAGATGCTGACTGTAATGGAAAACCAGGCAAATTGTACTTTACGTTGTAACTTGTGACTTTGAAGGCTTTGTTCAAACCATGGTTCTCTGTTTCCAGAAAAACTTCAGAAGAAATATGGTGAGCTGAGCGGAGATATTCACCTGGTGGATCTGTCGACGGGGTCAAATGGTCTGGGCTTGAGCTTGGCTGGCAATAAGGATCGGAACCTCATGAGTGCTTTTGTGGCAGGGATACAGCCGGAGAGCACAGCCGCCAAGGATGGCAGAATTACCGTTGGGGATGAACTGCTGGAGGTGGGTTCCCTGATACTATTGGATACTTGAGACTTTGGGAATATATTCCAAATGTCAGTCCTTGCTGCACATGATTCTCCTATTCGTGAGAATATTGGGGATGTGAATATGTGCCTCAATAATGCATGTTGCTGTGTAGGGATGAACTGCTGGAGGTGCGTTCCAGATTCTACTGGATGTATAAGTCGTATATATTCCAAATCTCAGACCTTGATGAACATGACTATCCTGTTCCTGAAAATTTTGGGGATGTGAATATGTGCCTTAATGATGTATGTTCTTGTGAATGGGTCTGACTTCAGGTCAGCTGCATGATGACTTCTCAGAGCCATATGCTTGGGTAGATCATGAGCAGAACAGGCCACCCACATTCACCATGATGTTTCTCTCATATTACATGTTTGGTCTTAGTACTCAGGGCTTGTCCTTAGAGCTGATGTCTGTTTGACATTGTACCCAAAAGGGTTGGTCCACATTACCCCACCAACTTTTTGCCTGTCAGGCCGCCATGATACAGCCCGTACATTACTGACCCCTTCAATCTCTCTCACACTAAATGTTTACTCTCAAGAGGATGCATGTTTTATTTCAAGACTGTAACATTTGCAATTAGAACTAGGTCTCTGGGGGAAACTTTTTAGTTACTTCATCTTTTGGCATTTTACTGAAAGAAACACATGCCAATTACTATACCATGCTTACCTTTGACATTCTTACAAACACGTCACACAAACACCAATTGGATTGGAAATTTTCTTCAGAAAAATATTTTTAATTAAATAACCCAACTGCCCAAAAAAGCCGAATCTTTATTGTCAGAAAATGTAAGAAAATCATTAGAAGCAAGAAATGTAGAACATGTTGGCTCTGTTTCCAAGGCCGGAGTTGTCTGCTATGTGTAAAGTGATTAGTCTGCGGGAGTGAAGTGTTAAGGCAATATCACGCCTCCCAGTTAATATTGGAATTCATTGACTTCGCACCTCATTGGCTGGACCTTTTAGTCCAACTTGTTGTGGTGAGCACTATGATTAGTTCATGTCATGTGTTATCATTGTAGCTGTTGTTAGCTCTGTCTTTCTCCAGGTGGAAGAAATTGATTAGTGAATAGATTAGGTGATTGAGTCCGACAGTAGTGATGTCAGATAGGACTAGGTTTCTGTAAGTATGGGTCAACTTTGGGGGAGAAAGGTTTCAGCTGGGAGTCAGGTTTGTTTGTATGAAGGTGTGTAGAGAAAGTATGGTCAACTTTCTTTAGAGAAAGAAAATGATGTATCCCTGATCTGGTTGTTACTATCACAGCGTATTGTTGGTGATTTAAAAATTAGGGTTGGGTGTGCACACTACAAATAAACTGACCTAGTTTGATCACACATCACACATCCGACGTATCTACTCCATACATATCGCATACACTCTATACCCATCCCAGGGCGGTGGGGCAGCCTAGTGGTCAAAGCGTTCGCTCGTCACGCCGAAAGCACGGGTTTGATTTCCCACATGGGTACAATGTGTGAAGCCCATTTCTGGTGTCCCTCGCCGTGATGTTGCTGGAATATTGCTAAAAGCGGCGTAAAACCAGACTTACTCACTGTCCCCATCCATCCCCATACACCCTGTTTGGCCACCATGCACACACCCCAAATACCCTATATAGCCGCTCCAACACCCTATATACCCACCCAACCCACACACACCATACACCCTGTATAGCCACCGCTAACACCCTATATACACACCCAACCCACATACTCCATACACCCTATATAGCCATAGCCATCCCCAACACCCTATATACCCACCCAACCCACACACACCATACACCCAGTATAGCCACCCCCAACACCCTATATACCCACCAACCCACATACACCATACACCCTATATAGCCACCCCCAACACCCTATATACCCACCCAACCCACATTCACCATACACCCAGTATAGCCACCCCTATGCCATATATAGCCATCCCACCCTCCCCATACACCCTATATTTGCATGCACTTTACTTCTTATTGCCTCTCAGAAATAATGTTCCTTATGCAAACCAAGTACATTTGTAGATGTCATGTTTCTGTATCCTGTAGGTGAATGGCCAAGTCCTACATGGAAGGAGTCACTTGAATGCCTCTGCCATCATCAAGGGCATCAAGACACCTTCGGTCAAGATTGTCCTCCTCAGGTAAATAGAAACATTCATCATTGAAAACTACCAGGTTTAAGCCACAGTTATGTTTCATGTTTGACACTCATTGTAATTCAGGACAGAACATGTTAGGATTCTGTAGCAGAATAGGTCCTTTGGACCCCATGCTTGTATTCAGGTGGGGATTCTAGGGCCAAACCAAGCCCCAAATGCTTGTTGTGTTCCAGTGGTGATTATAGGGCAGAGAAGGGATCGAGCACCTAATGCTTGCATTCCAGTGGTGATTCTAGGGTAAAATAGGTCCCTTGCACCCATTGCTTAGTGACTCTTGCTTCTATTTAAATCATTATTCTGTGCCCGGATAGTCTCCAGTATGCCTTACTTGTTTTTACAGCGAACTATTGCAACAAAGATAAAATTAGATTTTTGACATTCTTACATATTTAACATGATTCCATCTTCATGTGTTGACAGTGTTTTATCAAATACAATTTCAGACGAGAGAACTACCAGCACCATATGGCCATCAAGCCACTGCGTCTGGGTCCCATCATCCATACAGAGGTATGTCCCGTGTTGTGTCCCTGGGCACTGTAGTGAAACTGGTGTTGGTGTGAGATCTATGACATGTTAACATCAGTGACTGGTGTTGAGATCTATGACTGGTGTTGAGATCTTCAACAAGTGTTGACATCTGTCACTGGTGTTGAGATCAGTGACTAGTGTTGAGATCTGTCACAGGTGTTGAGATCAGTGACTAGTGTTGAGATCTGTCACAGGTGTTGAGATCAGTGACTGGTCTTGAGATCTATCATAGGTTGAGATCTGCGCCAGGTGTTGAGATCTGTAACAGGTGTTGAGATAAGTGACTGGTCTTGAGATCTGTCATAAGTTGAGATCTGCGGCAGGTGTTGAGATCTGTAATAGGTGTTGAGATCAGTGACAGGTGTTGAGATCAGTGACTGGTGTTAAGATCTGCAACAGGTCTTGAGATCTGTCACAGGTCTTGAGATCAGTGACTGGTCTTGAGATCTGTCATAGGTTGAGATCTGTGGCAGGTGTTGAGATCTGTCACAGGTGTTGAGATTTGTGACTGGTTTTAAGATCTGTGGCTGGTCTTGAGACTGCAATGTTGCTTCATGAGAATTAGACTGTGGAGAACCTAAGATATTTCTGTTTATGATTTATATTTACAATCGATTGTTTTTCTCTCTTTTTCGAATAATATCCCGTGCTAAGATGCTCCTTCAACACATACAGTTTAAAAAGTTGAGGATTTTGTGTTTGTAATCATTCAACTAATTAGATTCAGTGTATTCATTATGTTTTGTTCTTTCAAGGATGGTTTGTGGTCAGGAAGTTCTGAAGTGTTGTCGCTGCCATTGACATTGTTTACCCATATTCTGTCCAGCATATTCCGAAGTTACTGTGACATTGCCCAATTTGAAATTCAAATTATGGAAAGTTAAACCATTAGACATTTGTCTTTTAGAAGGTTATACAGAAGCCATTTATCTTCTGCACTCTATCATGATAAAAAGGTTGATATTCATAAGGCAGTCGACAGAGATCTGAGTTGGAGACAAACATGGCATGCAGTATTCTGTAGCAGCACCAACTGGGTCATATTCAGCCACACACGCCAATCAATAGCAATGTTAAAAGCTGGCCTGCCATGGATCAAATACCTATTTCATTAACTGAACGTCTAGACGGAACCTAATGACATGGGTCAAGGGACCCAAAGAACAAGACCTGATTAGGCCACTTTCTGATGGGGTTTTGGATGAAAAAGATTGATTGTTGCACAGACATTAGAGTGTGAAGATGTGGATTTACACAGGCAAATGTATGTTAATGGTAAAGTAATCCAGAGCCCAACTGGTGGTTGATGGTGCGAGCAATACTGATATCTTGACATCACATGACCGGCATTATTTTCAGGGTTTTAACTTGACTCCACAAGTTTTAGGGACATTGGGTTTCGTAAATGAGCTATTTCAACTTTTAGACACATCTTAAACTGGGAGGTGGGGTAGTCTGGCTGGTGGTTAAAGCATCTGCTCGTCACGCGGAAGCAGCAGGTTTATTGCCAACATGGGTTGAATGTATGAAGCCCATTTCTGATATTGCTGGAATATTGCTAAAAGCGGCATAAAACCTTACTCACTCACTCATTCACTGAGCTGAAACAGACTTGTATCTCCAGAACAGGCATGTGAAAGTGCTATCATTCTTTCTCATAAAACCTGGACTTCGCACATTGTACCCATGTGGGGAATCGCGGATCTTAGGGGTGATGAGCAAACGCTTTAATCACTAGGCTGTCCCAGCGACCCCTGGCAGTAACATTAACATTCTGCTTGAAAGTGTTACCATTCTTTCTCTAAGATGGATTCCTGAAACAAAAGTCAGTGAAATTCAAATGCAGTTTTTCTACTGATTGTTGTGGTGGAATATTTATGTGTATTACATGTTTGGAAAAGCTGAAGGCAGAAGACATTAGTTTATTCTTTTCCAACCTATATGTTCATGCAGGCCAGTATGACATGTGATTATTTCAGTTTCAGAGCCCTGTATGAAATTTAATGTATAACATTTGAGTTGCCAAAAACTTCTTCCACACAGTAATTCATAAAAATGGTTCAACAGATAAATTGTTCCAGTAGAAACCAAGATGAAAAGTGCATGTCATATATTATGGGAGGGTTGGGCAATATAGGAGACGGAGGCTGGTATCTAAGTTATAATGTGATAACTGGAGACCATATCGAGGATTAGGTGGCAACAATGTCACTGTGCCTGGATATTGTTGGACTACAGTCACTGGAGTAGGTCAGCTTTTAGCAATGAGCTGAATGTGTTATAATCTTTGTTTACTTTTATTATGGTCAAGTTTTAATTACTTGATAGACTACTTGGACATAGTGTAACACCTCAGTTGGGATTTCAGGGCAGAGTATGTAATTGCTGATTGATGAGGATTGAATGGTTACAACATTGTTTCTTATCTTGCTCACACAGCATGGTATGGCCAGTTTGCCTGGCATTATGTTGACTATCGCATTAAAACAACATCCACTCACTATACCGCTGACCCCCTCACTCACTCACCAACTGCACAGGTTTAGCTTTAGATACAGTTACTTGTGTGGAGCTTGTCCAAGGTACTCCAGCCCCATGAATAGCGAAGATGGTATAATGTTAATAATGTCCAAATGTCTCTTGTGAGAGGAGTGAAAATGGTATAATGTTAATAATGTCCAAATATCTCTAGTAACAGGAGCGAAGATGGTTTAATGTAAATAATGTCCAAATATCTCTTGTGACAGGAATGAAGATGGTATAATGTTAATAATGTCCAAATATCTCTTGTGACAGGAGCGAAGATGGTATAATGTTAATAATGTCCAAATATCTCTTGTGACAGGAGCGAAGATGGTATAATGTTAATAATGTCCAAATATCTCTTGTGACAGGAGCTTGGTGAAGATGGTATAATGTTAATAATGTCCAAATATCTCTTGTGACAGGAGCGAAGATGGTATAATGTTAATAATGTCCAAATATCTCTTGTGACAGGAGCGAAGATGGTATAATGTTAATAATGTCCAAATATCTCTTGTGACAGGAAGCGAAGATTGTATAATGTTAATAATGTCCAAATATCTCTTGTGACGGGAGAGAAGATGGTATAATGTTAATAATGTCCAAATATCTCTTGTGACAGGAGCGAAGATGGTATAATGTTAATAATGTCCAAATATCTCTTGTGACAGGAGATGAAGATGGTATAATGTTAATAATGTCCAAATATCTCTTGTGCACAGGATGTCCAAATATCTCTTGTGACAGGAAGATGGTTTAATGTTAATAATGTCCAAATATCTCTTGTGACGGGAGCGAAGATGGTTTAATGTTAATAATGTCCAATTATCTCTTGTGACGGGAGCGAAGATGGTTTAATGTTAATAATGTCCAAATATCTCTTGTGACAGGAGCGAAGATGGTTTAATGTTAATAATGTCCAAATATCTCTTGTGACAGGAGCGAAGATGGGAAATGTTAATAATGTCCAAATATCTCTTGTGACAGGAGCGAAGATGGTATAATGTTAATAATGTCCAAATATCTCTTGTGACAGGAGCGAAGATGGTATAATGATAATAGTGAGTGAGTGAGTTGGGTTTTACGCCACTTTTAGCAATATTCCAGCAACATCACGGCAGGGGACACCATAAATGGGCTTCACATATTCTGCCCATGTGGGGATTCGAACCCGGATCGTCAGCGTGACGAGCCGACGCTTTAACCATTAGGCTACCCCACCGCCCCTATAATGATAATAATGTCCAAGTATCTCTTGTGACAGGAGCATGTGGAATCGGCCACTTCCCCAAAGCCGACTCCCAATCGAGCACCTGTTCCTGCAGCAACGGGTACGACGCCTCACAAGGAGCCCCCAAAAGAGGACACCAAACCTCTTGATATTGTAAATACTGTCACACTTTCAAAGGTATGTTATTGTGTGTACTGTCAAACTTCAGATGTGTTATTGTAAATACTGTCAAACTCCATAAGATATGTTGTAATTACTGTCACACTGCAAGGTATGTTATTGATCCTGATTGAATTAAACAATTTCAAATGGAACTGGTAAGAATTCAAAATAAGTGTCAAGACAAATGGGAGTATATTTGTTAACTTCCTAAACTTTTGATTAAAACCCTTATTACATTCTGTTCTTGTAGGGACCCCAAGGTCTTGGTTTTGGCATCGTGGAAGAAACTCGCGACGGCCGCCACGGGATCTATGTCCGTAGTGTGACACCAGGGGGCGCTGCAGCAAAGGTTGGTATACATGGCATGTGCTTATCATGTAAGTCTTTGATAACATTGGCAGCCAAGTGGACACTGCCATGATGCACAAAGTAAAGAAGTCATGGACTGGTGATCAGTTGGAATTCCAGATACACAGTGTGACCCTTGAGACAGCACCATTTAACTGAGTGTAGAATTCAGCGTATTTCTAAATGTCACATCAGTAGAAAATAACTGCTACATGTTCAAGATTTCAAACTGGTAAACGAAGCATTAGGGTAACATCTTCACACATCATGATAACCCACTGTGATAAACTAATAGTCAGTGACGTTATTTCCAGCTCACTTGTATATTACAGGATGGACAGCTGACAGTCGGAGATCAGATCATGGAAGTTGGGGACAAATCATTAAATGGCGTACATTACGATAAGGTGAGAACGAGATCAGGCTTTACTGCTACCACTGTGACTGAAAAATACTGACTGAAAACCCCACATACCAGATAATATTTATACAACACAAAATGCTTCATATAGATGGAAATCCAGCTTTTGAATCTGGAAGTGAATATTCAGTTTGGTTGTCAAGTGATTTGGATATCAAGAAGTTTGTTTATGCAGACAATATTTGATAAATGCAAGATTCTGCACATATGAGGTTATATGTATATCAAAAAAAAAAGTGTCAACAGAGCAAATTGTTTCATTGTGACAAGTCAGTAAAATAAGCAGTGGTCTTAAACCGTGGCCAAACATGGCCAAATGTGTGACACTTAGGGCTTAAAATTGAACATCACCTAAATAGAAAATAAATGTGTTATTTTTTTCTGTTGGGGGTAGGGGGGAAGCAGTTCATTGATGATGCTTATGTTTTTTCTTTTACTTCTTAACAGGCAATCGATATTTTACGACAATCTCAGGGCAGTGTGAAATTAAAGGTTCGAAAGATTGGTAAAGGCAAGCAAGGAGAATCAATTCGACTTGGAAACACAGTTGGTAAGTTACATTCAAGTAGACATTAGTTGAATAGAATGCAAGACAAGGTCCAAGCTCACAGGACATAAACAGACAGTTGATGTTCATTTATTACAAGAACGTCAGTACTTTCAAATCATGTACTGTTCAGGTTGGTAGACAATGGGAGACAACTCTTGAAGGCTCATCAGAAAGTGCACATGGCCATTCTCCTCACAGCATCTGGTATCCCAGTTGTATATGGCTTTATAAAGTAGAGCTTAATAGCTTTATAGGATCAGTATCGCCTGGGATATACCCTACACATAGTGTATCCCCTGGAAAATACCCCATAGTGTTGACAGAGTCAAACAAGTCATGTAGTATTTCCCAGAAAACTATATCCATATATATTTGTTTCCAGATGAATCTTCAACTGACCCTCCAGCCCCAGTTGTGACGACTGACCCCAAGACCTGCCCAATCACCCCTGGTCGAGAGACCCTCATAGAGATTGAAAAGGGTCGCACAGGACTTGGGCTCAGCATTGTGGGTGGGTCAGACACGCTACTGGTAAGTCAACATGTTGCTTTGACAACAGAGTATATGATCAGATCTCCTGTTTTCCTAAGTACAAAAATGATAGCAAAATGTTGTTGTACATCAGTCATTTTATTGATTCTGTAGCATGTTTCAAACATTACCGGCATTTAAAAATATTTCTTTGAATGGTTGGATTAAGTACATTTAATCTGTTTCCAGGGAGCTATCATTATTCACGAAGTGTATGAAGATGGGGCAGCTTTTAAAGATGGCAGACTTTCTGCTGGGGACCAAATCTTGGAGGTGAGAATTAGATTCACCTGCTCAGTGGCAATCTTTTCTGCTCTTCTATCATAGTAGTTTAAATACCATCCAATACATCTAGTCATATACCATCCAAATACATCAAGTCAAGTCATACATACATACATCAAGTCAAGCCATAGGTCAATCAGGTCATACACCATCCAAATACACAAAGTCAAGCCATATGTACATCAAATCAAGCCATACATACATCATGTCAAGCCATACATACATCATGTCAAGCCATACATACATCATGTCAAGCCATACATACATCATGTCAAGCCAAACATACATCAAGTCAAGGCATACGTTCATCAAGTCATACACCATCCAAATATACTAAGTCAAGCCTTACATCAAGTCAAGCGATACATACATACATCAAGTCAAACCATACATACATCAAGTCAAACCATACGTACATCAAGTCAAACCATACATCAAGTCAAACCATATGTACATCAAGTCAAACCATACGTACATCAAGTCAAACCATATACATCAAGTCAAACCATATGTACATCAAGTCAAACCATATGTACATCAAGTCAAACCATATGTACATCAAGTCAAACCATACGTACATCAAGTCAAACCATACGTACATCAAGTTGACACCATCCATGTCAGTCTCACCCCTCCACACCGCCACCATATAGCTGGAATATTGCTGAGTGTGGCGTAAAACTAAACTCACTCACTCACTCACTCTATCACCCTCCACAACCAATGTTGCAGGTGAACCGTGAGGACCTGCGTGATGCCACCCACGACCACGCCATCCAGGTGCTGCGCCAGACACCCTCCAGCGTGTGGATCCTGATGTACCGCGATGACAACCAGTTGAAGGAAGAGGACATCTACGACATCTTCAGCGTGGAGCTCATGAAGAAGCCGGGCAAGGGACTCGGACTCAGCATCGTCGGCAAGAAGACTGATGTCGGTGTTTACATATCAGACATTGTGAGTACGATGGAGATGAATATGGACACATGTACAGTGGTCTTCCTCTATGCTCACCCATGAAGATCCGGGTTCAATTGGTCTTCAGTAACACATGCTTGTCGTAAGAGGCGACAAACGGGATCGGAGTGGTCAGGCTTGCTGACTTGGTTGACACATGTCATCGTCATCCCAATTGTGTGTATCGACGTTCATACTGTTGATCACTGAATTGTCTGGTGCAGACACAATTATTTACAGACCGCCGCCATATAGATGGTATATTGCTAAGTGTGGCGTAAAACTGAACTCACTCACTCCTCTATGCTAAACGTGATGACAAGGACACCTGGAATGTAAGGCTTGATTTTGGTGGCTCCATGTATGTTGGAACATAATTCTAGGGCTACAAAGATGCAAATATATTCAATAATAGCAACAGTAATCTCTCTGTTTCATGCTGGATGGCTGGCTTTAGCAAACTTGGTTATTTCAAGTGTTGAGCTAGCAGTTTAAGTTCTGGTTACCTCTTGAGGTCAAATCATTCACCATTCACAAGAGGGTCCAAGACTTTCTTCTGAATTCCCTCCCACACCAAGCTGCCTCTTGAGGTCAAATCATTCACTATTCACTAGACGGTCAAAGACTTTCTTCTGAATTCCCTCCAATACCAAGCTGCCTCTTGAGGTCAAATCATTCACTATTCACAAGACGGTCCAAGACTTTCTTCTGAATTCCCTCCAATACCAAGCTGCCTCTTGAGGTCAAATCATTAACTATTCACTAGACGGTCCAAGACTTTCTTCTGAATTCCCTCCAACACCAAGCTGCCTCTTGAGGTCAAATCATTCACTATTCACAAGATGGTCCAAGACTTTCTTCTGAATTCCCTCCAACACCAAGCTGCCTCTTGAGGTCAAATCATTCACTATTCACAAGACGGTCCAAGACTTTCTTCTGAATTCCCTCCCAAACCAAGCTGCCTCTTGAGGTCAAATCATTAACTATTCACAAGACGGTCCAAGACTTTCTTCTGAATTCCCTCCAATACCAAGCTGCCTCTTGAGGTCAAATCATTCACTATTCACAAGACGGTCCAAGACTTTCTTCTGAATTCCCTCCCACACCAAGCTGCCTCTTGAGGTCAAATCATTCACTATTCACAAGACGGTCCAAGACTTTCTTCTGAATTCCCTCCAAGACCAAGTTTCTTCTGAATTCCCTCCCACACCAAGCTGCCTCTTGAGGTCAAATCATTCACTATTCACAAGACGGTCCAAGACTTTCTTCTGAATTCCCTCCCACACCAAGCTGCCTCTTGAGGTCAAATCATTCACTATTCACTAGACGGTCCAAGACTTTCTTCTGAATTCCCATTCACTATTCACACACTTTCTTCCCACACCAAGCTGCCTCTGAATTCCCTCCAACACCAAGCTGCCTCTTGAGGTCAAATCATTCACTATTCACAAGACGGTCCAAGACTTTCTTCTGAATTCCCTCCAACACCAAGCTGCCATATCATGATACAACTCGGTTACTGTTCACAGGTGTTGGAGCGGTTGGGTAGCCTTGTGGTTAAAGCGTTCGCTTATCTCGCCAAAGACCTGGGTTTGATTCCCATATGGGTACAGACCCGTGAAGGTCCGGGTTAGAATTGGCCTTCAGTAACCCATGCTTGTCGTAAGAGGCGACCAACGGGATCAGGTGGTCAGGCTCGCTGGCTTGGTTGACACATGTCATCGGATCCCAATTGCGCAGATCGATGCTCATACTGTTGATCACTTGATTGTCTGGTCCAGACTTGATTATTTACAGACCGCCACCCTATGGCTGGAATATTGCTGAGTGCGGCGTACAACTAAACTCACTCACTCACCCCATACGGGTACAATGTGTGAAGCCCATTTCTGGTGTGTCCCGCCATGATATTGCTGGGATATTGCTAAAAGTGGTGTAAAGCCATACTCACTCACTTTCAAAGCTGTGTTTACTAACGTTGGTACTATTACAGTCTCACTGATGATTTCATGTTTTCAGGTGAAGGGCGGGGTGGCAGAGGCTGATGGAAGACTTATGCAAGGGGACCAGATTCTCGCTGTCAATGGAGAAGACATGAGAAACTCAACTCAGGAATATGCAGCAGGCGTTCTTAAGGTAACAGCATTTTAAGCTTGACGTGTAAGGGGAGGTAATTCTTGTATTTGTTACTGTTTTTCTGAGGGACATCTTTATTCATTTTGATGTGAACATGTGTTGTCATAATCAGTGGGCATCACATTACTATAGATATGAATGTCAAGGATGTCTGATGGCACTCCCAGTCTTGTATTGGGAGTCTGTTGGTTGAACATTTAACACGTTTCAGTGTTTCTGAGCACCATAAGTAACCGAAGTTAGATTCAACCTAACTGGTAATTGCCTCATTGCGACATTTCAAATCTTCCTCGAATGGAGGACGGTGGGGTAGCCTAGTGTTCCCTTGTCATGCCAAAGACCTGGGTTCGATTCCCCACACAGGTACAATGCGTGAAGCCCATGTCTGGTGTCCCCCGCCGTGATGTTGCTGGAATATTGCTGAGTGTGGTGTTAAACAACAATCAAACAAACATATTTCAGCTGCATCTGACAGTATAGTAAGGTAAAATGGATAGTTTTGTTAGCAGCTAATGGTATTTGATGGATTTGGACAGTTTTCATAGTTTTAAGTTGATTTTGAATTTTTTCAGCAGTTAATATTTTTCTTTGGTTTTGCAGACATTGATGGGCAAGGTGACAATGATGGTGGGAAGGTTAAAAGCAGGGTCAAGGACCTCTTCACGACGGAACTCCAATTCTCCTGGCAGTGCTTTGAAAAAATCAGAATCGAGTGCAAGCAATCGCTCCCGGGGAAAACACTCAAAGAGTATGTATTGTTGTATTGTTGTACTCTCTCTGCGGCCTTCTTTGCTAATGTACAATTTAGTAACACGTACATGGAAAAATTGCAGCTGTACAGTCTAGTAATACATGGCAAATTGCAGCTGTACAGTCTAATAATACATTGGCAAATTGCAGCTGTACAGTCTAGTAATACATAATACAAAAATTTGTAGGTGTACAGCCAAGTGAAATATACAACTCAAAGATATATATTCGAGTTGTATGGTTAGTAATTGTTTGGGATTTGTTTCTGTGTCAAGTTGGTATCAAATTCTAATTGTAGATGAATTATTGTACATTGTTTAAAATATTGTAATTCAGAAGGAAATTATTACAAATTATTACAATCACTTTTTTATGTAATTGTATGCTCTGTCTTCACTCAAAATAAATCTAAAATATTTGTGAATTGTTTGTTTTTAGGTTATGTATGCTTTTAAATTATATGTTTTCAATAAAAATAGTAAATGTGTTCAGATTCTTAAAAGACGTATTTGAAGCATTTGCACTCTGGAATTTGCCATGGATTGTTTAGACTGGTACAGCCTTCTCCCCACATGTACGTGTGTTAACCGTCTATAGACATTTTAACTTAATTAAGCTTATATCTCTTGGATTTGAAACTAGATGCGATCTCTTCAATTTAATTTCCAGAATCTGATCCTTAATGAATTTTAGACAGAAGATTCTGCTCCATTGAAGTGTTAATTATGTAGGACTCGTTAACTGGCCAATTAGCTCTGTAGCCCACTGCATGCTTGTGACTGTACGGCATGAGACTACTGCCCCGTGCAGCATGTCACACCCTCGTCTCTGTCACCACCATCTTTCTCTTATCGCTAGCTACAAGCCAGCCTGCACTGGTCAACTTTTTCACTCAAATGATGGCATTTTACTGCACAGGAAATTGTCACAAATTATTTTTTAGTGACAGATGTATTTGTTAGTGTATATAACTTTACATTTCTTTATTTTTCAAACATGTTGGTATTTTGTACAGGAATAGGTCATAATAATAACAATGTTTGTATTTATTTTATACCAGATTCATCCCCTTAAGTATGCACAAAGTGCTACATTATTATCTCGGTCAATGGATCAGAGTGGACTCGATTGTTGTTCTCAACTTCTTGGGGAGTATACCACCCAACCAATATTGGTGTTAAATTGACGTGTATTTCTTTTCAATTATTGAGGATTGTTTTAAATGGGAATTACCCTATTTTTAGGTAATTAATGGTAATTAGTATAAATTAATGTAATTTTTAGTTATGATTGTATGAATATGTACATGTGAGCTGACACAATGAACATAGGGCATGTTAGGTAGCAGCTGAGATTAGCTGTGAGAAATTGGCCAGTTCTAACAGTCGCCTGCCTGTACGTCACTACTTATTCTGACATTGTCAACATTTCAGAAAACGTCTGAAAAACATCATGAACTTTGTTTTCATCACTATCATTCATGCAAAGGAAACTTGTCACCTTACGAAACGGGATAAAGATTTGTTCAATATCTTACAAAAATTGTAATGGTAAATTTTACAATAGAAATGAAAAGACATCAAACATACTACTCACAAATATTGTTATTGCTCCTTTCTCATGTTTCTTATGTTGTTTAATTATCCTGAACAAAACTTAAAATTTTAATAAATTTTAACTTTCAAATTCCTACCAAGAAATGGTATTGTCTTGAGGAATGAAATGTTGACAAGCAATGCATTAATATCACAGTACAGTTTGGTTGATTTCACCACCGTTTCTGTACCATGATTTCTGGACATACAATAGCATCTGTCTCCTTCCTTCTTTCAGGTCTCCCTTCCTCTAAAAGCTACTAATCTCCGGTTCTGTAATTTACTTCTCATCTTTCATAAACACAAACATTTTTGTATCCACTATTTCCTTGCATAAGCACGCTAATCGCTCTCCTGTGAACATTATTGTCCTTTTGCTACCAACTATAGCATATACCTGTATATCCAATCATCATTCCAATCCAAATGGTATTTTGAATAATAATAATGATTAACATTTGTAAGACAATCCTTGAAAAAGTTATGAATGGTGAATATCCATACTCGGAACTAGTCCGGACATGACGCTTTGAGACAAGAAGCCAACCGCTTTCCTGTCCTTTATAGAGCTAATTAAACTTCTATAATGTTATGGCTGAGCAATAAAGTATGTATAGTTTGTCTTGAATATGATTTGTTACTTGTAAAATATGTGAAAATAATGATTATATAAAACAACACACTACGCAATAACTCTGACTGATAAGTAGAAGTGTTTCGTCAATACTAGACTCATATGAACTGATTGTATAGCATTCTCCAGAATGTTGATAAACGGATGGGCGATATTGTGTATATAATCCTGATGAACCATGCATAGACAGATGATATTGCACGATAGTCTCCGGGATAGGATCAGCTCAATATGCTTCCTATGAAGATTTTCCTCACGTAATACTTTCAGTGAAATAATACGTTTTGTTTGTACATACAGCTTCACGATGTTATGCAAGCTGAGACGCGGTGTTTGTCTGTGGTTAGGGTATGGTTGAGGAACTAACAATCAGCACATTCCATTGTGTGAGGAAGACAACTTTCTGTGCAAATGCAACTGTTTTACGTTCATCTGATATTGATAACATCCCTTGCTTTAAGTCTGTGATTAGGAAGAGACCAAATGAACTTTGGTAAATATATTCTTGAGTAAACAACTGCTTGTATGTTTATAAACAGTTAAAAGTTGGATGTAAAGGAATCACAATTTACTTTGTTATACAAAGGCATATATATCAGGGCAGCTTCCTCCCCCTTAATTATGTGAATGGTGAAGAAGCATTATGAGAAAGTATTATAACTATAATAATATTCTTTTTCACCTGGCACATTATATATAAAGGATAGGATACTACTGTGTTTAGTATCAGTACTAAATCCAGAATGATGTTGTCATTATTCACAGCAATAGTCATAAGCTGTTGTCAGATATTTGAAAGAAGCAACAGTTGAGTGTGCATACATGGAAATAATTAATTTTTAAGTGATTCAACATTTATTGTCATGTACGTTAAATGAATTATTTAATACCCTTGAATGACAGTTGAATAAGATTTGAAGTTGTCATGTAATGTGTATAGCGACAAAACAAGAACAGTAAAACATATATGAAATATAAAATACTTAGTATATTTAGGTGATATTGAATTAGAACACTGAACATTGTCAAATGAATGTGAATCATTAATTATGTCAGTTGACAACTGAATTTGATCTTTGAAACTTATCATAAGAAACATGAATAATTGATGCCCTATATGTGATAACTGAACAAGACCATTTGAAATTATCAGAAGACATGAATGATAAACACCATTAAGTCATAGAATTGGTTAGAACCTTTGAAAATTGTCTCCTGAAGTGTAAAATGTGGAAACGTAATGATAAGTAAGCACAGAATCTGGACTGGTAGCTTTTGGACGCTGGAGTAATATTAAGAGGTTAGAACACTTGATCTATTTTGCATGATATATTTCTGTCCTCCTGTACGGCCAGTCTCCTCTTCACTGTACTCTGTGTAAGCTGCATATGATGTGCTTGGGTGGTTTCTGGCAGACTGGACGCTCCAACCTTTGTAAACCGATATCTAACCATGTGTCGACCATGTCAAATTAACTGCTTTAAAACATAACCTCTGCAGCTATGGTAATACAGTACGTCGACAGTTTACCCGTTTATCCACGGTCTTTCTTTACTTTGAAATTTGATAAGAACAAGTCTGTTTTTTTAAATCATATTGAAGATTAAATTTTATTCCTTCAATGCGAGTTGTATGAGTTCAATCCAATTTCTGGACATTTTGTAATTTCGATTTTGAAAGAAACCTGACTTGTGAAAGTATCCTTCAGATCTGCAGTGTGAAACATCATGTCAATGCACAATGCTTTTCTTGAAATTTTGTTTCAATCACAGCAATACGTTACCCTCAGTCTCCCCTTGGTTTTTATTGCCTCTTCTATAGTCACAAACTCCTATGTTGTATGATATGTGTGCTCCATATTCAACCTCAGGCGTAGTGGAAAGCTACGCGTTGTGAGACCCTGATTTACCACCACTTTGAGCTTGTCACTCTCTGTCCCTCCCCCACCCCACCACTCTACACCACCTTCTCAGTGTGAACATGCATTCCCCGACCCCCACAATGAACTCACCTACTTGCCTCCCCACCCACCCACAACATCTCGTGAGCTACACAGGAATCGATTGAACATATAATGAATGCCAGTACCTGCTATTTATACAAAAACATTCTCATAAAGTTGCAAAGTTTAGTTGTTTATTTTCAGTGTTTAGTTATTCAGTACTTCTATTCCATTATATATAATGTACCATGTCCCTGTTATTTTGGATTTTATGGTTGGATTACTTAATTACAGTAGGTTGGGATTCTAGGGCAGAAGTTCCAAAGTACCCCAAGTATTCTTTATTGATTCCTCGGCAAAATAGGTCCCCAGAACCCCAAGTATTCTAGTATGGATTCCAGGCCAAAATAGGTCCCCAGAACCCAAAGTATTCTGGTATGGATTCCAGGACAAAAAAATGGATTCTGGTATGGTTCCAGAGGTCCCCAAGTATTCTGGTATGGATTCCAGGACAAAATAGGTCCCCAGAACCCCAAGTATTCTAGTATGAATTTCAGGACAAAATAGGTCCCCAGAACCCCAAGTATTCTAGTATGAATTTCAGGACAAAATAGGTCCCCAGAACCCCAAGTATTCTAGTATGGATTCCAGGACAAAATAGGTCCCCAGAACCCCAAGTATTCTAGTATGGATTCCAGGACAAAATGGGTCCCCAGAACCCCAAGTATTCTAGTATGGATTCCAGGACAAAATGGGTCCCCAGAACCCCAAGTATTCTAGTATGGATTCCAGGACAAAATAGGTCCCCAGAACCCCAAGTATTCTAGTATGGATTTAGGTCCCCAGAACCCCAAGTATTCAGGATTCCAGGACAAAATAGGTCCCCAGAACCCCAAGTATTCTAGTATGGATTCCAGGACAAAATAGGTCCCCAGAACCCCAGTATTCTACCCCAAGTATTCTAGTATGGATTTCAGGACAAAGTAGGTCCCCAGTACCCCAAGTATTCTAGTATATCCAGGACAGAGTAGGTCCACAGTACCCCAGATTGTAGACATGGAGACAAAATGGGTCCACAGTACCCCAGATTCTAGTAGACAGGACAAAGTAGGTCCCCAGTACCCCAAGGCTCTGTAGACAGGACAAAGTAGGTCCACATTACCCCAGATAGTAGACAGAGTAGGTCCACAGTACCCCAGATAGTAGACAGTGTATATCCACAGTACCCCAGATAGTAGACAGAGTCCACAGGTCCACAGTACCCCAGATAGTAGACAGAGTAGGTCCACAGTACCCCAGATAGTAGACAGAGTAGGTCCACAGTACCCCAGATAGTAGACAGAGTAGGTCCACAGTGCCCCAGATAGTAGACAGAGTAGGTCCACAGTACCCCAGATAGTAGACAGAGTAGGTCCACAGTACCCCAGATAGTAGACAGAGTAGGTCCACAGTACCCCAGATAGTAGACAGAGTAGGTCCACAGTACCCCAGATAGTAGACAGCCCCAGATAGGTCCACAGTAGCCCCAGATAGTAGATAGTAGACAGAGTAGGTCCACAGTACCCCAGATAGTAGACAGAGTAGGTCCACAGTACCCCAGATAGTAGACAGAGTAGGTCCACAGTACCCCAGATAGTAGACAGAGTAGGTCCACAGTACCCCAGATAGTAGACAGAGTAGGTCCCAGTACCCCAGATAGTAGACAGAGTAGGTCCACAGTACCCCAGATAGTAGACAGAGTAGGTCCCAGTACCCCAGATAGTAGACAGAGTAGGTCCACTGCAAGGATCAGGTGGGAGCCATGTGAAAGCTGACTGAATGTGTGGTATGATGGCCAAATAGGTCATGCCATCAACCTGCAGCTGATCTTATGATTGACTGCAGGTTGAATCTAGGTTGAATATGGAGATACCACAGCAGCTGTTCATGCATAAACATATCAAGTTCTTTTGATGTTTGTAATCATAAAAGAAAAAATATATATTATGAAATATCTGAAAGTGTTCATTTTTTAAAAATAATGAACAACATGTTCATGGTAAACAATATAGATTTGTGAACTTTTTGGCTTCACCATGTAACTGTTTTAATGTTTATTTATCAATTGTGTGTTCAGTAAACCTGTTATTTTTTTGCCCAGATTTGTTTTGTGGTTTGTATTCCCTTGCAGGACTAGTTACCATAGAGCCCAGACAGTTTCACATTTTCCAAGTTTCTGTTTGGCAGTGCTCGTACCTTTATGTTATTGAAATGTTCCCACTGTTTTTGCCAATAGACCCTGATTTCTTGACAGAAATGTGTTACAACTGAATAATTAAAATACCCCTTTTTATTTTTATAATTATATTATGCATGTAATGCATGTTTTATTTCAGGGATGTGCAGTATATTTTGATATGACTACATGTGTGTATCCACTCTGTATATTGTGTATACTGGCATGAAGATGCATATACCAGCACAGTTTATGTGAAAGCTAAATTTGCATTTCCAAATATTTTACCTGTCATAGTTGGATATGGAAGTTAATCTGATCCCCTGCTTCATACATCTTGTTTGCTTCTGGTTTTTGTATTGTTAAATGGATTTTAACTTTCTTTGACTATTGTTTACTGTTGTTTTGTTGTATTTCTTCATAATTTATTTTTGTACTTGTTGTTTGAAATTGTATTGTGTCTCTTGATGCTTGATTTTCAAATATTTGAATATGTATGGTTGTTGAATCTTGTAACCTGATCCTGTGTTAGAGTAATATTGTTTAACGCATCAATGCTGATATCCGATGTGGTAGGGTGTGAGTGCTACAGTTTGACCTGACTTCCTGTTGTAGATGTGAGTGTGGACTGGACACATTTGAGGAATGTGGATCTCCAGCATGACGAGTCGGGCTCTCTGGGGCTGAGCATTGCTGGTGGGGTGGGCTCCCCGCTAGGGGATGTTCCCATCATTGTTGCAAACCTCACCCCCACAGGCCCAGCAGCACGGTGTGGCAGGTTACGGGTAAGTCAGCATCTGTGACGTAAAGGGAGGGGGTCAACGCCTCCTCCTCTCCCCCCCCCCCCCTTTTCTTGAACATTGACTTAGGATCATCTCAGTTGATCCTAACAAATGTACTAACTCATTGACATTGACATTGACTAAGGGACAGTACTAAGTTGATCCTAACACCCGTACCTTGACATTGACTAAGGTCGATCATAGCACAAAGTTAATCCTAACACCCATACCTTGACATTGACTAAGGACGATCATAGCACTAAGTTAATCCTAACACCCATACCTTGACATTGACTAAGGACAGTTCTAGCAGTAAGTGGATCCTAAGACCCATACCTTGACATTGACTAAGGACAGTTCTAGCAGTAAGTGGATCCTAAGACCCATACCTTGACATTGACTAAGGACAGTCATAGCACTAAGTTAATCCTAATACCCATACCTTGACATTGACTAAGGACGATCATAGCACTAAGTTAATCCTAACAACCACTATTTGACATTGTCTAAGGACAGTCATAGTACTGGGTTGATCCTAACTCCCCTAACTGATATTGACTAGAGACGTAGTACAGTTGTAGTGCTGAGATCATTGGAGGAACAGGGCTCAGGACAATATTATTATGATTGCTATATTGTCATCCTATTTATACTTGAAATAGATGACAAGAAATAAGAAAAAATGGACATCTGAAATGTCTGCAATTATGTCATTGCTTTTTGCAATAATAAACCTTTTGGGTTTCAAAGCAAAGTAGGCCCCAGGTATCCAGGACTAAGTAGAACTAGTTTCCTGATGCAAAACAATGCAAATGTTTGGAATATTGCTAACGGTGGTGTAAAGCACCTCTAACTCAATTGTGTAATGTTCAGTAATTGTATGATAGTAAGAGTAATGTTGCAAATGTTCCTCCACTTTAGGTTGGTGACAAGATCCTGATGATCAACAACCGATCAACAGACGGCATGACCCATGATGAGGCAGTTGCCGTGCTGAAGTCAACGACGCCGGTGATGCTGCAGGTCATCCAGGGGGAGGAGCTGGCTGTCAGTGTCAATGGCAGTCGCTCAGCGTCAAGTCAGCACTGACATGTCAAACGACCCAACTGCCACCGAACTTTCTGTGCCTCCTCCAGCTGAGGGGTGAGTACATGTAGACAGCATCCTTTCTGTATCCAAACTGGCCTTCCTGGTCGCATATGATCCAACATGACCAACAAGTGCTAACATAAAAAAACATACAAAAACAAAACATAAAAACAAACAAAACAAGCACCAACCAAACCATCCTGTAGTTATTCCTATCGACCACTTCTGGCAAACTTCCAAATTCAAAATTCATAAAAATTTAATAATGCAACATACCCCCTTCAGGTTGCCTTGTCTTTCGGTCAAATCACGCCTCTTTTGATCAGACACTAAGTGGCCTGGCGGGCTCATGTTCAAACATTATGTCGTAAAGTGCAGGCTAAATCTTCAGCATCCTTACTGTAAGGGGGCACTTGTTGCCCACACCATGGTGACTTGATTACTGTGGGTCTCCAGCAGTCAACTGATGTATCAGTACATGCAGACAGCATCCTTACTGTAAGGGGGCACTTGTTGCCCACACCATGGTGACTTGATTACTGTGGATCTCCAACACTCAACTGATGTATCAGTACATGCAGACAGCATCCTTACTGTAAGGGTGCACTTGTTGCCCACACTGTGGTGACTTGATTACTGTGGGTCTCCAGCTGTCAACTGATGTATCAATACATGTAGATATCATCCTTACTGTGAGGGGGCACTTGTGGCCCACACTGTGGTGACTTGATTACTGTGGGTCTCCAGCAGTCAACTGATGTATCAGTACATGCAGACAGCATCCTTACTGTAAGGGGGCACTTGTTACCCACACTGTGGTGACTTGATTACTGTGGGTCTCCAACACTCAAATTATGTATCAGTACATGCAGACAGCATCCTTACTGTAAGGGAGCACTTGTTACCCACACTGTGGTGACTTGATTACTGTGGGTCTCCAGCTGTCAACTGATGTATCAGTACATGCAGACAGCATCCTTACTGTAAGGGGGCACTTGTTACCCACACTGTGGTGACTTGATTACTGTGGATCTCCAACACTCAACTGATATATCAGTACATGCAGACAGCATCTCTATTGTAAGGGAGCACTTGTTGCCCACACCATGGTGACTTGATTACAGTGGATCTCCAACACTCAACTGATATATCAGTACATGCAGACAGCATCCTTACTGTGAGGGGGCACTTGTTGCCCACACTGTGGTGACTTGATTACTGTGGGTCTCCAACACTCAACTGATGTATCAGTACATGTAGACAGCATCCTTACTGTAAGGGGGCACTTGTTGCCCACACTGTGGTGACTTGATTACTGTGGATCTCCAACACTCAACTGATATATCAGTACATGCAGACAGCATCTCTACTGTAAGGGAGCACTTGTTGCCCACACCATGGTGACTTGATTACTGTGGGTCTCCAGCTGTCAACTGATGTATCAGTACATGCAGACAGCATCCTTACCGCAAGGGGACACTTGTTACCCACACTGTGGTGACTTGATTACTGTGGGTCTCCAACACTCAACTGATGTATCAGTACATGCAGACAGCATCCTTACTGTAAGGGAGCACTTGTTACCCACACTGTGGTGACTTGATTACTGTGGGTCTCCAGCTGTCAATTGATGTATCAATACATGTAGATATCATCCTTACTGTGAGGGGGCACTTGTGGCCCACACTGTGGTGACTTGATTACTGTGGGTCTCCAGCAGTCAACTGATGTATCAGTACATGCAGACAGCATCCTTACCGCAAGGGGACACTTGTTACCCACACTGTGGTGACTTGATTACTGTGGGTCTCCAACACTTAAATTATGTATCAGTACATGCAGACAGCATCCTTACTGTAAGGGAGCACTTGTTACCCACACTGTGGTGACTTGATTACTGTGGGTCTCCAGCTGTCAACTGATGTATCAGTACATGCAGACAGCATCCTTACTGTAAGGGGGCACTTGTTACCCACACTGTGGTGACTTGATTACTGTGGGTCTCTAGCTGTCAACTGATGTATCAGTACATGTAGACAGCATCCTTACCGCAAGGGGACACTTGTTGCCCACACTGTGGTGACTTGATTACTGTGGATCTCCAACACTCAACTGATATATCAGTACATGCAGACAGCATCCTTACTGTAAGGGGGCACTTGTTGCCCACACAGTGGTGACTTGATTACTGTGGATCTCCAACACTCAACTGATATATCAGTACATGCAGACAGCATCTCTACTGTAAGGGAGCACTTGTTGCCCACACCATGGTGACTTGATTACAGTGGATCTCCAACACTCAACTGATATATCAGTACATGCAGACAGCATCCTTACTGTGAGGGGGCATTTGTTGCCCACACTGTGGTGACTTGATTACTGTGGGTCTCCAACACTCAACTGATGTATCAGTACATGCAGACAGCATCTCTACTGTAAGGGAGCACTTGTTGCCCACGCCATGGTGACTTGATTACTGTGGGTCTCCAGCTGTCAACTGATGTATCAGTACATGCAGACAGCATCCTTACCGCAAGGGGACACTTGTTACCCACACTGTGGTGACTTGATTACTGTGGGTCTCCAACACTCAACTGATGTATCAGTACATGCAGACAGCATCCTTACTGTAAGGGAGCACTTGTTACCCACACTGTGGTGACTTGATTACTGTGGGTCTCCAGCTGTCAACTGATGTATCAGTACATGCAGACAGCATCCTTACTGTAAGGGGGCACTTGTTACCCACACTGTGGTGACTTGATTACTGTGGGTCTCCAGCAGTCAACTGATGTATCAGTACATGTAGACAGCATCCTTACTGTAAGGGGGCACTTGTTGCCCACACTGTGGTGACTTGCATACTGTGGATCTCCAACACTCAACTGATGTATCAGTACATGCAGACAGCATCCTTACTGTAAGGGGGCACTTGTTGCCCACACTGTGGTGACTTGATTACTGTGGGTCTCCAACACTCAACTGATGTATCAGTACATGTAGACAGCATCCTTACTGTAAGGGGGCACTTGTTGCCCACGCTGTGGTGACTTGATTACTGTGGGTCTCCAGCGGTCAACTGATGTATCAGTACATGCAGACAGCATCCTTACTGTAAGGGGGCACTTGTGGCCGACACTGTGGTGACTTGCATACTGTGGATCTCCAACACTCAACTGATGTATCAGTACATGTAGACCACACTGTGGTGACATCCATACTGTGGATCTCCAACACTCAACTGATGTATCAGCACACAGACAGCATCCTTACTGTAAGGGGGCACTTGTTGCCCACACCATGGTTACCCACACCATGGTGACTTGATTACTGTGGGTCTCCAACAGTCAACTGATGTATCAGTACATGCAGACAGCATCCTTACTGTAAGGGAGCACTTGTTGCCCACACTGTGGTGACTTGATTACTGTGGATCTCCAACACTCAACTGATGTATCAGTACATGCAGACAGCATCCTTACTCTAAGGGGGCACTTGTGGCCCACACCATGGTGACTTGATTACTGTGGGTCTCCAGCTGTCAACTGATGTATCAGTACATGCAGACAGCATCCTTACTGTAAGGGGGCACTTGTTGCCCACACTGTGGTGACTTGATTACTGTGGGTCTCCAGCTGTCAACTGATGTATCAGTACATGCAGACAGCATCCTTACTGTAAGGGGGCACTTGTTGCCCACACCATGGTGACTTGATTACTGTGGATATCCAGCAGTCAACTGATGTATCAGTACATGCAGACAGCATCCTTACTGTAAGGGGGCACTTGTTACCCACACTGTGGTGACTTGATTACTGTGGATCTCCAGCTGTCAACTAATGAATCAATACATGTAGATATCATCCTTACTGTAAGGAGGCTCTTGTGACCCGCACTGTAATGACTTGCGTACTCTGTGTTTCTAATGTAATCTTGTTTTAATATTAGCATATCCTAATTTATGTGCTTTGTCTGTGTTTAGCCGACATCAGAATTCAAATTTAGTTCTTCTGTTGCCAGACAAGGCCCACAATGCAGCACCCTGATTCTGGAGCGAGGTCAAGAAGGCCTGGGATTCTCGATTGTCGGAGGTCATGGAAGTCCACACGGAGATCTGCCCATCTATGTGAAGAACGTCTTTGAGAAGGGAGCTGCCGCCGAAAATGGCGTGTTGAAAAGAGGAGATCAGATTTTGGCTGTGAATGGGAAAAGTCTGGATGGACTTACACATGATGAAGCTGTCAATATTCTGAAAAATGCGCGAGGAAAAGTGACTCTATCTGTGTTGTCTTGATAGTGTGCCATGACAACGTACTATTATCATTCAGTGGGACCAGTTGTATTGTTGACAAGCTTTGGCAAAGTACGCTGTGACAGAGAGCACCAATCAGGAACAGTTTCAGAAAGCATGGAAATAATCTCTATTGATGCTACTCCTTGGAAACAATCACCATGGATACCATGGGCACTTGAATGGTTACTATGATTCTATGAAACAGGAACAAAGGACATCAACGGAACATGTTATTTTGATATGAAGGAGAACACTCCAGGAATTTTGGAATTTTGAAAAAATCGTGGAACTATGGTGTCCGAAAATGGTGACTGTTCATCGAAAGCATCGTGCCAGAGCTTGAAAATAATATTATTTGTTTCTTCACAATTATCAGATATCAAAATGGTTGTGACAGTGACTTTAAGTCGTTTTGGGATGACAGAACTTTACAATGGATACACTCAATAATAATAAAGTTATGCAATGTAGTCATTGTGAATAAGTAACTCATTCATGATAATTAGGTGCTTGAATTAAAAGGTACAAGGACTGAAACCCCTAAATTCCACAAACTATGGATATGAGTTTGCAATGTTTGTGTCACAATTAGTGAGTATATCCATTGAAGACTTCTATACTGTTACTGTTATTTTTGTATATGATGTATGATAGTGTTTTCATTTTTTTTTACAGGATTTGCAACTGTGATAGTGAGATTTAATTATGTTACAAGAATTTGTGAAAATGGATATCATTTCTTTGAATTAGATATGACCCTGTCCCCATTGTAGCTGAAATGTCTCAACTTGAAGAAGAACACTATAAGAATGAAACCTTGTCTCATCCCATTACAAATATGCAATGTTTTGGAGAGACACGTATTACTGGACCAATATTATTGAGATATCTGACGAAACTATAAGTTTTTTCTTTATGGAAGTATGTATATAATGGTAATTACAGTAGATCATTTAGTATATTCCCTTTATTAGATATAGATCATGTGGACCTCATTAGCATAGTGAAAAAACAAAATTCCACCTTTATATTAATCAGAGAGAGATAAAACACTAAACTCTGATGTAACAAGTCTGGCTGCAGATCAAAATCAAAAATCGAATTGGAGTGTAGAGCTTTGATTTTCTGTAAAATTATTTTGGATGAAGAAATAAGTTGTTAAAGTGATTTAAAATTATCTGTTTGCTATAAAATGCAACCTGAATTTTCGATTTGGCAACCCATTCAAGGTTCTAAAAATATTCCACAGATTATTTTCTTGCAGTGTTTCTTTGGTAAATATAACAGAGACATCCTGAGGCACATCCTCAAGAGGTAACTATGTTATATCCTGGTTGTCCTGTGTTGTGTGGAGACTTGAGCATCCTTAAACATTTGGATTCTTCTAAACGTTTTGTGTATTGACTGCAGAATGACAGAATGTTTTACTCTTCATTATATAACAAATGCATATTACAGAGATGAGTGAGATTATATGTTACACCTTGATCAACTTTTTCCAGTTTTCTATTTCATTTTATATGACAGGTGTTTTCTAATGCTTTTAAACAATTTTCATGAACTGATCTGTTGCATCAAGATCCCAATGACCTGCTCTGACAGCCTGTAGTGGTGATGTTGTGGTAGGAATGTCATGATGTCATGCAGGTGAAGTGCTGATGTCATGGTAGTAATGTCATGACATCATGCAGGTGATGTGATATCATGGTAAGAATATCATGACATCATGCACGTGATGTGTTGATGTCATGGTAGGAATGTCATGTTATGCAGGCGATGTGATGTCGTGGTAGTAATGTCATGACATCATGCACGTGATGTGTTGATGTCATGATAGGAATGTCATGTCATGCAGGTGATGTGATGTCATGGTAGGGTTGACATGCAGGTGATGTGATGTCGTGGTAGGAATGTCATGATGTCATGCAGGTGATTCAATGTCATGGTAGGAATGTCACGCAGGTGATTCAGTGTCATGGTAGGAATGCCATGATGACATTTGGGTGATGTCAGGATGTGATGACATTAATGTGGTGATGTCATACAGGTAATGTCATGCAAGCAATGTACGATTGTAATGAAAGGCAGGTGTGGAATTACATGATGTTGATTGAATGATAGGAAAGCAAAAGGCAGTTTCTACACATCATATTGACCATAACTTGTATTTTGTTTGGGTAAGTTTCAAGTTGTCAGAACAAAATTATCACAATAAATATGATACATACTTTTTTTAAGGAGAACAATCTTAAAATGGAATGATAATACATTGGTTGTTATGTAATATAGCATATAACATGTAGACACACACAAGACACATAATTTGTTGGCTCCCTATCTGAATTTCCATTTGGTTTTGTAAACAGGCAAGTATAGTCACTGGTTGACATCCGATAGCCACAGATCTTGTTGATACTTTTATTACCTATCAGTATACCCTGTTGGTATTACTCAGACAATAATGGTCATTAGAGGTCATCCTATCTGAAACTAACATGTGGACAGTATGGGTTTACTGGTTTCGTACCCGGTTGCCCAGTAGTCACTGGCTAGAATTCAGATTCCATGTAGACACATTGGTTGGTTCCTTGCCTTTATGTCAGTAAGGTATTATACAGACAACGACAGTCACTTGTTTGCATCAAATGTCCATACACTAAGAAGACACGATAATAAATGGTCATCTTATTATCATGTAGGGACCTATGTCTATGGACACTATTTGGTTTATGCATCATAGACTATCAGAGATTATACGATCTGTAGACTTTATTATAACCCAGTACGTTTGGACAAAACTGCCCTCAATAAAGACATTCAACCATTCCACAGAACCACACAAACATCCAAGTTGCCTATGACAGACTAGTTGGTTGTTCCTGTTTGAGTGACAGCGCCTGTTTCTTTGTCTTGGTATCAGGTGGTAGAAACAATGTAGAAAATAGTACACATTCCATTGGTATTTGTTAGCTTGCAAGAATTTGTCTTCCTCCTTGCGTTAACATTGATGAAGCTGTGGTGGGAGTATCTCAGACCCACTCACCTAATCCCATGCACATAAACCCAGTCACTGATAGATAACCTCAATCTCAAACTGTAAGTAAGTACTTGTACTCACAATTCCTTGGATTAAGGTGGTGTAGTCTTTGATAAGTGAATAGGCTTACCCCTTTAAAGCAGACTTGAATCCTATGGTACAACCAAGGATTTATCTATCAGTTAAAGGGTTGCTCCTCACAGTTGAGGATGTTTTCATTTAAGCTGCAGCACCATTTCTGTCTATGCAATTTCTGCTGGGCCCTTTAACTTCCAAGCATTCTCATTGGCTAAAATTCAAATGTCTCAATTTTTATTGGTTGGCCAAAGTAGATAAGTTGCTGGCAACAGTTAGAAGCTGTGAATAAATGTGATAGCTTATCATTTTAACAGAACTGTTTACCAATACTTAGTGTAACGATGATCTTGGAGATTTTATAGTGGTTAACCCAGTGTTATAGAAACTCATGCCGATATTTATCATTGATAAGCACATGTGTGACTGGATCCTCCTCCAATGTCACGTTGTGCTGTTGAGTTTACTGTTTATATCACATGATGGCTTCTTAATTATCACTGTTTATGCTAACTCCCATTACCCACGATTTGTACTAAATAAAGTATATTTACATGAAACGTGTGTTCTTGTTTGTCTAAGCAGCTGATTGGATGAAGGGCAATTCCTTTCTGGAATTGTTGCCAAACAGAATTCTGCAAATGGAAAATATGATGCTTGAGAGGTATTGTGTGTTAACTTTGAGGTTTTTTCAACAAACCTTTGCATAGAGCTCAGGTCACAAATCAGGTAATGTTGAGTGCGGAGAGTCAACATGCGGAATGATACTGAATCAACTTGAATTATTCATCTGGCGTTTCATAGCAATAAGACATTGAATTGTGAGCCTCAAGTCTTCATTCCAATTTTCCAGAGGATTCATTGTCTGAAAATTGTTCTATGAATATATCATATTTGTATTCATCTTACCCTAAGGATGTGTCACATTGACATTCCTAAGTCTTCAGCACTTGTCTTCAGGACATGGTTGTATTGATACACAAATATTGTCTAATATGACATGCACCCAGTGACTCACATGGAAATAGTGACTGCATTACTGACAATCTTTGGCTTCGATGGTAGCTGAGGATGATCTGGTGAATGATGGCCCTTGAAATGAAGAAATGTTTGAATTTGTGGAAGGCATTTTCATGTCATACACTACCACAGTCAAACCAGGCATAATGATGAATACGTGGATTACTTGCAATTGAAAGTAGTTTAGAATGAGGCTGATGCTGAAGTTTTGCACATTATTTTTGTACATCTAAATTTGTATACTTTAGTATATGTTTTATGTGATGCTGATTATTTTCTGAAACGAATTTGGGAATGCTGATTGGGAACACTACATGTGCATGTGCGTGTGCGTGTGCATAGGTTCTGACCAACATTCACGCTGCTAGTAAGGTAGCCAGCAGAAAAATACTGAACAATATAAATTTTGAAAATATTTAGTTATTACATAACTTTCAAATCATGCAGAAATTCATGTAGATATGCTTATGTAATTTTAGCAGATTGTCATATGGCAGTGAAAAAATATGAACATGTTAAATAATGCAATCGTATTCCATTCTTAGTTCGAGGGAGTCGGGTATCTTCTAGAACAGCTAAAATAATAATAGTATAAAAAAACAAACTTGCAGAAGCTTTTTATGTATACAATGGGAAAGGTGCGTGCATGTAATCTCACACTACATCCAGACCAGACATTTGTGAATATCGTTATTTTCACCTGTTCTTGAAGTTTGATCACTGTTGCTCCTAGGCGAATATTTTTATCACAGTCCCACCCCAACGCACTGCCATTCTGTTGTGTACTGTCATTACTTTGCAGTTATTTCTGTTGATAATTAAACTCACATTGATCAGCGGAAGCTCTGCAAATGTATACAGTTTGTCGAAATTCAGAATTGAAAACTGGATTTTGTGGTCTATCGATCCCTTGTTATATGGTTTGGTAGACCGCTATCACATTCTTCTGTGGGACTTGGCCTGTAAATATTTATTCATATCCAAGGACAATTGAGTGAGTGAGTTTAGTTTTACGCCGCACTCAGCAATATTCCAGCTATATGGCGGCAGTCTGTAAATAATCAAGTCTGGACCAGACAATCCAGTGATCAACAGCATGAGCATCGATCTGCGCAATTGGGAACAGATGACATGTGTCAACCAAGCCAGCGAGTCTGACCACCCGATCCCGTTAGTCGCCTCCTACGACAAGCATGGGTTACTGAAGGTTGATTCTAACCCGCATCTTCACGGGTCTACACATTAAGAAGGCGCACAATGTTTCAAAAGCTGTGAAAAGCTATGAAAAGTTTCACGTACTTTGAAGGGTCTGGCATGTTGTGGTGTAAATTTCATAATTGCAGTACAGTTTTCTTGACTGATTTCAAAGAAAAGAAAGAAAGAAATACCTTTTGTTGACGTAGCCTTTCAGAAAATACACGACGGCAAGTTACTGGCATGCAATACGCAGGGATGTCCTGTCGCAACATCCACGACCTGGAAGACCAATGGCCGTGATGACTGAGTCCTTATTCGATCTCATGACCCATGGGGAAAACTGCCCAGACAATCGAGAGTTGGAGTCTGCACCAGTACCATCAGAAGGTCTGAGCTGCTGGTCGGAGGGAACGCCTGTTGAAAGTCGCTATCTTCTTACCTTTTTGACGCGTATGGAGACATCGTAACGTAGCACATCACCAGGAGATGACCCATGCAGCTGAACCCTTTGGTGGCGGCTTAGTGTTATTTGGGGCGAAGGCAATACTGGTGGCAATGACGATGTGATAAGCCCTACATGACCTATCGATGTACGGGTGGCCCAGTCGTCTAATGATGTGCAACGGAACCTCTGATCCTGGCTTTAATCCCCGGTCGCCTTATTATTTTTCTAGGTTTCTTCGCATCATACCCGTTCTCGTGGGTTTCATCAAAGTGGTAAACGATGCGACCTTCCTCACTTTGGGATTTCCTCCCACAGTAAAACAACAGCTAAACGCAACTCACTCACCCACATGAGCTAACATGACATGGTGGCACCAGGTATGACCTCTTACCAAATATACAAACTATGGAATCCTGGAAGGGACGTTGTCGCGTTGTAGTGTTATCGCCCTCTCAAAAACAAGCAAAAAGAGGCAAAATAACCCAAAGCGCGACAATGCGACATTACAAACACATACACAACAACAGCATTATCATGTGGACAATGACGGACGGGATCTCTCAGTACATTGCATGGGAAGACATTGAGAACATTGCACGCGACTGAAGGAACCTGGAGAACGAAGACATATTTTTTAACTTCATTTGTCACGCACGATTATTTATCACATGAACCGGCATACTTTACTGAGTGGTTGCATGGCGCAGTTGTCTGACGGCGACCTCAACACTCCAGTGTTCAAATCAAACCACCGACTGGACGCCATCGTGGGGTAAAAAATGAGTAGGATTTTACGCCGCTGTTATGATCCGAATATCCAAGCTGTATCACGGAGATCTGTCGGGTCGCAGTGAATGCAATTAGCCAGGTCACCGAACAGTGTTAGTGGGCTCTAACTACAGCCATACGTTACTGGGGACATGTGACATGTTAAACAAGGTCAGTGGCGGAAAGTAGTTGGATGTTTGGCCATATTCGCCAGGTTGACCCCTTATATGTGTTTGTCTTGCCGCACACGTCACACGTATGTCGTCTCATACGGCAAGTAGCTTTCTTCGAAATAACCCTCTGTTCAGCCATCATTAAACGGGTACCCGGCAAATGTAAATGGCAAAGTGACTGTTAACCTTCTAGCACCTCAGAAGCTGCTTCGGTTGTATACTTCTCAGGGAGCTGAGAATGAAAACTGAATACATACTGATCATGTGAAAATTTATAATAGGCATTCTGTGTTCTCGAACCCCTGTGACGTCGGTTGATTTACACTTCATCGACCAGACTTACTCACCCCAATCAAACCTTGAAATACCTGACACAGTTTCTTCAGTACAGGAACAAAGTTTGAGATACGTGTATGCCTTCTTGGTGGATGTGTCAATATTTGTTTATGCTGTGATATCAAGATGACATCGAGCTTAACTGTACAGAAATACGTCTTTCTTTGCGTCACGACAATCCATCTTGCAGATATATATGTTCGCTTGCTTTCTGGCTTGATATCCCGGCTGTATGATACTGGCCTGTAAATGATCAAGTCTCGACCATACAATAGTGTGATTGATATTATTGGTACGCAGACAACTGATTCAGTATTATGGTCCGTGTAGTTGTCCAGCATGATTTGTTTGTGTTGTTCAACGCCGCACTCAGCAATATTCCAGCTATGTGGTGGCAGTTTGTAAATATTCGAGTCTGGACCAGACAATCCAGTGATCAACAGCATGGACATCAATCCGTGCAGTTGGGATATGGTGACATGTATCAACCAGGCCAGTGAGCCTGACCACCTGAAGACCAATTCTAACCCGTATCTTCACGGGTTTATCCAGCATGTAAAGCAAAGGTTGCTAGAGACCTATTCTAACCGGTCTCGTGAGATGGCTGTATTGTCTATGGCTGTGAATAATCTAGTCTGGTGAGACAAACCAGTGGTTGATATCACGAACATAAAAAAAAGCTGTCGGCTTACCGCACCACATAAGTCAGATCCGGTGATCCGAGGTTTACTTGTGGCGACATACAGAAGGTTCTGAGGACCTCGTTATACCCGGAATCCTATCAGATTATGTGCCTTAAGCTCTCTGTTGAACTGTTGTGTTCCACCACAACACATGTGGAGCAATACGTTAGTCGACACCAGATGTGGCTGAAGTCTGAGGATTAAGGTTGCTGAGCTGAATGAAGTGCGAGGGCGACACCTGTAAATATTCCAATAGTACACAACCTGATTGAGATCCACCTGTCCGTGCACTGCCCAGCGGAGTGTTCCGATAGCGTGCACGAATACAGGTTAACAACGAGGGCTCTTAGGATTGCATGCGGTCAAATATATTCATTAACAATTGATACATTAGTCATTTCTGTGCCCACTCACAGATAATCCAAGAGCTCAGTACGACTGTGGTATTTTACCGGATCAGTTAGCATGGCGCCAGGTTAGCGATACAACAGAGCTTCAGTATAACTGAATCTGTGCAATTCGTCAGATGTATTTGCAATGTCGTCATGGGTGACTTGAAACATTATACCACCGGATAGCCATGTTAAACCGGTTCACGCAATCAGTTCATCATGACATCCAAGTGTGTTTGGAGTGCTCTCCGAGAAGTAATTACTATTTCAAAGATGGCTGATAAAGCGAGCCTTTGTTATGAACACATTAACATAAACGTTGGTCTGAAAATGTTCTGTTCAGTGGTCTAAATCAATCTGGAGCGCTCGTATTAACACCTGTCCTTACATTATGACGTCATATGTCATATATACGATCATGGGATCGCTCCTTAGTTTATGACGTCATGTAGATCTGTTTTTCATGGGATCGTCCCTTAGTTTATGACGTCATGTAGGTCTGTTTTTCATGGGATCGTCCCTTAGTTTATGACGTCATGTAGGTCT